GCTATGAACTGATTAAATAAGAATGTTATTAATATTTATATGTTCGTCTTATCCTGGCATTAAGAAATAATTTTGCCTTTATGTTTCAGCATCTACCTCCTCGTTCTCGCTATCCGTTTTGAATCTTCAGTATTCGCATCCGTTTCTCGCAATATGATCAAGCCTGATTAATTCGTGAGGTATGTCCTCCTTTGTCTGTATTTCATATATTTCTTATTTGCTTCTTGGGCTTTTTCGGAAAGTTCTCCAATTGATATAACATGATTGAACACTTTATGTGTAATACCAGTCATAGGACTTTATATATCTTCCTGTAGTTGATAAACGATATTCTTCAAATTTTCCGTATTGATGGTACTACATTTTTATCAGAACCTCGGTAATTTCTGTTATTTCGATGCTGATTCTGGATTCGCAAGAAACCTATTTTCAATGGTCTGACGACTATTTTATGCAGGATATTTATTATTAATTTTATTCTGTTATGTAGGAGAAAAATTGTAAATATAATTTAACCTTGTAATAGCATTATGTAATTTGTTTTTGTGTAATTATACAAATATTTGCGATAACAGTTTTCTTATATAAATTCTTAGAACATGGCCAGTTTTCTTTCTTTTCTTTGTAGTAATGTGATGATCGGTTATATTTTATTTGAGGGAGTGTTGTTGTTTTCTTAAGTATATAAAGTAGAATATGATTGATTTGGATTTCATATTGGATATGTTTTACTTTAATGGTATGTAGTTAGGTCGGTGTATATAAAGTGGTGGTGTGTTGTGAAAGGAAAACTTGTTTCTAGCTTTTTGATACGACTCCTAGAAAGTCGTGAAGTCCCCCGAGAATTGATCCTTTCTTGAGGTGGTGATAAATGGGCAGCGGGGTCCTTCTTACGTTGCTCTCGTTCATGGTTTTAATTAGCAATAATATGATAAGTATTATAGCCTCGTGAACAGAGGTTCCTGAAAGTTGTGGAGTCGGCGGGAGACGTCAAGTTCCTCGTTTGCCTGTTGTCATCGTGATTATAGACCATGTTCAACTAGGTTTAAGTAAAGTAGTTATATTTGTCCAGTTGGGAGCTAGAAGGTTCTAGATTTTGTCTTTTGTACTGCCCGGTACGGCCTTCACCGCGTGCGTACTGCGGTGGGCCTCACCTCGATGTTTGTCTATGCCCCAGTAGGGTCGGGCAGGGCAGATTTTTGCTAAAAGGTTCCGGAGTATGCTGCGGTGGACCCCCTTCCCGAGTTGATCGCCAGGTGCAGCACTAGCGTGGAGGGTGCGGAGGCCCCGGAGTGAGCGCTCTCTGTCTCTCTCTGCGTATTCTATGCTGTTGCTCGAGCGAGAGGTTATGCATGTGTATACATATACGATGTGATTTGTTCGAGCGAGAGATTATATGTGTGTGTAGTAATATTGATATGTATTGGAATGGTGGCTCTTTTTTGTTGAGTGGTTGGTTGTTTATTGTTTGTATAGGGTAATTATTGGTTGTGGCTACTTAGTTCCTGTCATTTCCAGGTTTTTGTTGGCTGGAGTTATTTCTGTTGAAGGGGTTATCGTGCGAAGAATTAGATGCGGGGTTATACCTAGAAATGCGAAGGGAGTGACATGTGACATTTTATGGATGTGGTAACATACGCGGGGATGTGGCGTCGTCTACGCCTTCTGGGGCCTTTGTATGGGTTTTCTCCTAGTATACCATTTAGAAGTGTCGTTTCGACGTTCGTATGGTGAATTGATAGGTTATGTTTGTTTGCAGGTGCTGCAGTAGATTGAAGGCTTGGAGCTCTGGCAGCCGGTGCAAGTGCTTTATCGAAGTTAACCATGTACTCTTGGCTGGAACCTCAGGTGGTAACGCGTGCTTTGTATTTCGTTTATTTCAGGTTCACCGTTTTTAATTGTGAATACTCATTTGCAGTCAGCTGTGTTTTTATTTTCGGCCTCGATACCGATGTCTCGGTGTTATTTGTAATTAGAGGGTTTATTTTTATTGTTGTGTGGTCCAGTGATAGGGAATACTTTTGTTCGGAGTCTCCTGAGTTATTCAGTGGGTCGGGTTCGGTGTCTGCGTAGCTTCCGGTTTCGGGGGACCGTCCTGGGGCCGTGAGCGTATTTCGTCGTTTATTGCCGTTTTTGGGGCCGGCTCGTCGATTGGGGTTTTCCGGGCCACCCTGGTTTGCATAATTTCGGATCGTTCGATGGGTCGGGGTCGGTACTTGTGCCATCGTCGGTCGTCTGGTTGCTCTTGAGAGCCACATGGCTCCGATTCTTCGTAATTCCGTTTCCGTTTGCTTCCCAATGTACTGTCCACGGGGGGTGCTTTTGCTCGGAGTTTCTCAGGCTGCCCGATGGGTCGGGTCCAGTGTCTGTGCGACTTCCGGTTTCCGAGTTTTTTTTTTTTTTGGGGTCGCGGTCGTTTTCGTTGTTTACTGTTATCATTTTTGATGCGTGGTTCGGGCTCTTGCGTTCGCTTGGTTCGCGTGAGTTCGCGGACGAGCGACGGGTTTGGGTCTGGGTGCGCGCCCCTGTCGGCCGTCAGCCCGCTTTTCCGGGCCGTTTGGCTAGGATGCTCTGTGGCTTCGTTCCTGTAGGTTTCCTGGTGTTTTATCCGTGATGGGTGATCTTGTTCGGAGTTTTCCGGGCCGTTCGATGGGTCGGATCCGGTGTCTGTGTGGTTTCCGGTTATCGATATCTAGGACCGTTTTCGTTGTTTTAACGTTCTTTCGTTTGTTAATTCGTGGTTTAGGGTTGACGGGTTTGTTTGGTTGGTGTTGGGTAGGCGGGTGGAGTGTGGACGCAGTGAGTTAACTTTAATTCTGTACTTTATTATTTTTCGTTCAGGGGCAGAGAGACCGTCTTTACTCACCAGATTGCTCCCGGAGGCTGGCCGACCGATTGCGAAGCCTGGATCAGCTCGTCACATCATGATAAGGGGTATCTGTTCTGCTTGCCAGTTTGTCAGGTTTCTGTGGGGTGCGTTATATTTCATCATGGTTTGATTTACTTGGTGGTGGCGCGTTTACTGGTTTACGGTCGCCCGTATTTATCTTATTGGGCATGTCAATTTCATTGTTCCTAGTGGTTCTGGTTTCTAAGAGTAATTTATTCTTGTTTAGGTTTGTCATTCGAAGTTTGTTCTTCAATTGGTTTTTTTTAAGGCTACGCATTTCGATGTTTGCGGTTGTGGTCACGGGGTAGCCAACTTGTAGTGCTGCCTCGTTGTTTTCGAGATATTTTCTTTATAATTGTAATGACCACGCGTAGAATTTTTTAAGCCCTGGCGTTGTTAGAGATTTCTCCGATGTCTGAGGCTAACATCCCTCTGCTTGTTTCAGGTTGTATGGAGCTTTGTTTAGCTTGAAACTCTGATTAATATTGTCGCGCCCCGGAGGATGACTGGGCGGTTTGTCTGGCGCCTTCGTCTTCGGTGTGACTCGAGGGACGACCAGGTATGCGGGTGTTTCAGTTTATTAACTTTTTATTTGTGTTGGCTCGTGTTTGTTTAATTGAGGTGTATTTCGTGTTGTCCTAGTTTTTGTGTGGGGCTGCCAGTTCCTGTGAGTCGGCCTGGTGGACGCTTGCACCGTCTCTTACAGGTGTGTGGGTTGGTTCCCAGAGGGGCATCTAGGATAAAGGATGTGTTTTGAGTGGGGGATGGTAAGGTGTTATCACTTATCTATTGACCTTTCGTTGGGTTCATCCCGGGGTGAAACAATGTGGTGTAATTTATGTTGGGGGGGTCTTGAATATAGGGTCTCGCATAGAGTCTCGTCCTGGTTGCGTATTGGATTGGATGTTCTTATCAAGGTGTACGTTCTTTGAACGATCTTATTGTGTTTATATCCTTTCTGTTTTTAGGTGGGTCCGAAGTGTCTACAGGACCGCTCTGTTCGAGGTCCACCATTTGAGATCCCTGGTTTGCGGGAGTGCCTGCGGGGCTGTTCAGGTCACAGCGGTCCCTCGCTATTCGAGGGGGGAGCGTTTACAGGCCTGCTCCATCATTCGATCCCTTGATGTACCTGTCACCTGATAGGATGTGGCGCTTGGAGTTGTTTGTAGTTTTGTTCTTTTGTAATAGTTGTGAATTGTGATTTTATTGTCAAGGTGATGATTGGGATGAGTGCGAGATTAATGTATCTAATAAAGGAGTTATACGGGATAGTGGATGGTGTGTGTTTTTTGTCCTTTTTGATCGTACGAGGTCGTCGGGGTTTCTGTTGTCGGGACACCAGCTGTTTCGGGCTCGGTTTTCGGCTCGTCAGAGTTTCCGGGGTGTTCTTTTAGTCTTGCATCGCTTTCCATTTCCGATCTGTTCACGTTAACCGGAACACGTTCCGGATGCGGATTTTCGTTAATAACTCGATAACCATGTCTCGGATAACTTCTTTGCGAAGGAAAATGTTGTTTAAAATCGACGCAATAAAGTATAGCTCGAAAACCCGATAACCACCCGGCGACGGCAGGACGGTGCCCGTACGGCGCCTCAGTTACATCTCTGGGCAGATAAGTAGGAAAACCATTTTCGGTTTTCTTGGAAAAGCGGCCATCCACAAACAACCCCTACTTCGTTAACTTTCACCCTATTGGTGCGCCTCTAGCACCCAAAAACTGTATAAAAGATGCATCCCAAGAACAAATAAACGTTAGAGCAGTTAGAATCTTCACGAAGACTACTCCTTTACCTATCACGACGACCGAGTCTCTACGGAACTCTCTCTCGTTATCGAGTAAAAAGGAACAAATCTCGTTTTTACCGTAATAAGCTCCTCCCCATTTTCGGGCGTAGTATTAGTTCTGGGACACGCTGTATATAATTATTTAATTCATTCTCGAGGTTGGGTCACAGTGGCGCAAACTTCCCAGTTATCAGTGAAAGATGGTTTTTAAATCTTTTAAAAGAAGCTAATATTCTGCAAGAAATATAATTATTTTAATTCTGTACCGTCATTGTACACTTAAAAAATTCAACTTTCTCTTTTGCAAACTATTTCTCAATTATCATTCATAAAATTTTACAAATTTTCTCACCGTTGTGAAATAAAACTCTCGACAAAAAAAATGGAATTGCTGTAGTTTGATCGAGCGAATGTCTCCCTCCTATCACCTAAATTAACGAACGAAGAAAAGGAAAGTTTCACCTATCCAGCACTCAGGACATTCAAACGGCCATCCTATCCGCGTTGCTAACGAAATCTTTCAACGAGTTCTCCGCCGTCTCCGTGACGCTTGTATGCGTACTGCGCTGCTACTGCATGTATCTACGTAGAATCGCGCGCGTGGTGAGAAATGTTTTCTCCTCGTTTTTGCTGGAACTGCGGCTAAGCATCGTTTGTTGCGTCAAAGCGATTTTCCTCTTAATCCCTCCACGCCTATCTATCTCTTTTCTTCCCTTCCGCACTTTCAGGCTAGACGCGCAAGTCATTTTTCGATCGCAGTTCCATTGAATGAGTGTATCACAACTTCTGACTCTTCTCCTCCTCGATTCGAGGAACGTGACTATTTAACTGTCGTGTCGTGGAAATGAAACGATCAGAAGAATAAGTGATTTCTCCATAGAGAATCTTCCCGAATAAAAGTTCGATCGATGTATTATAGTGGATTAAAAGATGGGGTTAATGGTCTGAGAGAATAAGAAATAACAGGTTTCAAGAGGACGGCTTGGAGAATGAGAATGGCAGCTTAAGCTGCTGGATGAAGCGGAGGTCAAAGAGGGGAAATCAATTTTCAGTAAAGTTTCAGTTTCAAGTATGTGATAGGTGTTGCATGTGAGTTATATCGTACTTCAGGACAACCTCGCTAGTTTCACGTCAAATCGGATACCTTTCACACGCTCTATCACAATAAAATTGGGAATAAAATTTTTAAAAAAGTAAAAGGCCGACTTCAAAGGTATGTCATAAATGATAGAATAAATTGTTTTAAAGTCAGTGCCAAAATAGAAACAAAGTTAAATAAACTTGTGAATCTGTATCAACTATACATCCTAAACGTGACGTGTACGATATCTGATTTACTATCACTTAAGTATAATATAGTTCCCCTCGTGTTCAATAACTGAAAAACGGAAACGGAAAATCTGGATCACGCCACGAATATGATTTGTAGCGCCTAACCTAAATTCTATGTCTGAACACTTCCCCTCGATACGAGCCGATTATCTCTATTCGTCACTAGCTCGAATGCAACATAATCCTGAACGATTCGCGAGT